CTGACATGAATTTAAATATACAATAACAAAAGACAGACAGAAAGTACATTTTTCAACAGAAAGAATCCTGGCCTGATTAACAAATAATTTTATAACTTCAGGAATTTCAATGCTTGGGAAAAAAGAAGACACCTACACCTATACCTGTCTCTAGGGCATTTATATCAAGTTTCACTTTCTGTAATAGTCCAGTGTAAAATCATATGCCTGTTGAAGACAATAATGAAACTCTAATCAACTTTAATAAAGAATAAATTTCATCTCTGGTATCATGGTAGCACTGAACTCTTCTGGATGAGTTTGTTACTACGTGATAAATCTACCTGCAAACCAGGCAGTTAATCTGAGAAGAATTCTTAACTTCTCCCTCATACATTATAATTATAAATACCAGGCAGAATATCAACTTCTACATATTTGTAAATCTAAACCTATACCTTAGGATAGTTCCATTACTTGCTGCAAAATGTATTACTTTACTGACGCTTCAGCTCCTTAAATAGGACTAAAAATGTTTAGAATACATAAAAATAACGCTCCTCTACGAGTTTTTCAGTTACGCAAAAACCCTTTCAATTAAACTATAAAAGCCAACTTAATCCTTTTGTGCTAGGAATCAGGATTATCCACCTACTTAGTCCACTGTGCTTCCTATAAAATATGCCGGGCAAAATTCTTAATTCTAGCACTGTGGCAAGTAACTCGTCACAGAAGTTAACCAGTTTCAGCAGCACTAGAAAATCACTTGCAAAATTAAAACAAGAAAAAAATTATTTTTCAGGAGCTTCAGATAAAACATAAGCAGACAATGGTTAACAGTTTTAGATCTGCTGTCTTTTATGTAAAAGTAGAGCTTTGGCAGTTTAGATACCAAACAGCTCTCCAAAATTCTTTAGTTAAGTGTGTGCCATTTTTGGTGTATGTTAAAAATAGCTACAATTTCCTAACTGGTAAGAGTTACATTTTCTAAAATTATCCAGACATTTTTTCCCTATTTCCCTCCATCCCTGGGGGATGAAGGCATTGAGAGCAGCCTTGCAGAGAAAGACTTGGGGTACTAGTGGATGAAAATCCGGACATGAGCTGTCAACATGCACTCAGCCCAGAAGGCCAACCATATCCTGGGCTGCATCAAAACAAGTGTGGTCAGCAGGTCGAGGGAGGTGATTCTGCCCCTCTGCTCTGCTCTGGCGAGACCCCACCTGCAGTATTAAGTCCAGTTCTGGAGTCCTCAGCACAAGAAAGACATGGACCAGTTGAAGCGAGTCCAGAGGAGGGCTACAAAAATGATCAGAGGGATGGAACACTTCTCCTATGAGGACAGGCTGAGGGAGTTGGGGTTGTTCAGTCTGGAGAAAAAAAGGCTCTGGGGAGATCTTACTGTGGCCTTTCAATACTTGTATGGGGCCTGTAAGAAAGATGGGGACAGCCTTTTTATCAGGGCCTGTAGCAATAGGACAAGGGGTAATGGTTTTAAACTAAAAAAGGGAAGATTTAGACTACATATAAGGAAGACATTTTTTCTAATGAGGGTGGTGAGACACTGGAACAGGTTGCCCAGACATGTGGTAGAAGCCCCATCCTGGGAAACTTCCAAGGTCAGGTTGGATGGGGCTCTGAGCAACCTGATCTAGTTGAAGATGTCCCTGCTTGTTGCAGGGGGGCTGGACTAAATGACCCTTAAAGGTCCCTTCTAACCCAAACAATTCTATGATTCTGAGATTTTACTCATTACTAACCTATACCTTATGTTATCTTTCACCCTTTTCTTTACTTTTAAATTACTAGGTGCTAGGAGACTGGGAGCAGAAAATAATAACTGACTTTACATTAATATTACAGCTTTCTAACGATACTTGACCCAGAAAGAACACCAGTTGATTTTTACATAGGTTAGCATAAACACAGTAAAAGTTTGCAAAGTCTTTAGTTATCAACAGACATTTTCTCAATTTCTGCAAAGCTATGAAAATGAAAAAAAACCAAACCTAAACCACTTAAATCAGAACATGGAATCAGGTTATTCAGAAATGACACTGAATGATATGCTGGTCTCACTTTGTGGTTAGTTTAGAGTACAACTTCATTGACTTCCACAGTCTAACTGTGACACAACTTCATTATCAGAAATTTCCTCTCTTACTGCCCAACAGATTAATAACTTCCTGACTAAAATTCCTGTCCAGCAAACAATCTATATTCATTAACAAGATAAAGCAGAAAGGGGAAGTATAATAAAATGCCTGCTTGGTCTGAAATGCACATATGAGACTCACAGGGAAAAGAAACAAGCTGAAAACTATGAGAAGCCAAAATGGATTAACTAAGTCAAAAGACAGATAAAAAACAGATAGCAGCTTTTAAAATTAAATTTTCTGCAGATTTTGTTGTTTGCTTGTACTGTTGCCATTCTGCCACTACTTGGATTTTACTCTAAGTCTTAGAATTTAGTATTTTTCTGAAAAATCCAACTCATGCTGTTATGCAATTCATAATATTCTTTCTTTTTCCTAAAAACTAAATTTTCTATCCTTCTGGCTTGTAAGAAAACAAACTGTAGGGGTTCTAGAAAGAAATAGAACTAAGCTTTAAGGATTCATTTCTATTTTATTCTTATTTTAAATCTATTATTGTGATTTTTCACTAGGAATTCACTGATGTCTGTGAGAAGTGAGTTAAGGTACCGAACTATGTAGCAAAATGGTGACCTTATGCATAACAATGCATAAAGTATGTTAAGCATTTTACTACTGTATGCAAATAAAATGTTGCCATTGATGTTAATGGGGAGAAAACATAAGCTTTTAAAAGTAGCAGAAAGCAAAATTTGATTCAAACAGCTTGTAGCACCACAGGCAACACATACTAAAGCTGTTTACTATAGGAAAATTGAAGAAACTCAAATGCTTTAAAAAATTATTGAAGATGCAAAACCTGCAAGTAAGAAAGAAATATCTGAGAAGCATTTGGATGCTATCAGAAAGTTTTGGTGTGTGGAGCAAGTTTGTACTAGTTGCCTTCTAGTCTGAAGAAAATGAAAACACTTCCAAGTATACTGTTGTGTATACATGTGATAGTTTCACTGGGCTAGTCCTTGGCTAGCAGCCAACACAGCCGTTCACCCACTTCCCCCCCACCCCCAGGGGATAGGGGAGAGGATTGGGACCAAGTGTAAGGAGACCTGTAGGTTGAGATAAGAACAGTTTAATAATAGAGAGAAAACTTAAAATAATACTAATATTAAAATAACAGTGATAATTATAACAGTAACAAAATATAAAAATTAGTGATACCCAGTGCAATTGCTCATCACTCACTGACCGAGCCCGGCCCATTCCCAGATGATGATCCCGGAGGAGCGACAATCCCAAACTGAAACCACAATCCCAGAAGAGTGAGAGCCCGAGTGAAAGTCAGAGACAAAAGGGGAAGAGACCCTCACCAATATACTGAACACGACGTGATATGATTTGGAATATCCCACTGTCATATCCAAATGCCAGTTTAGTTTATTAATTTAAATATTCCTCACCCCCCTAGATCTTGGGCTTGTAGACTAACAGAACACAAAGTCCTTCACTTCCAGCAACAAAAAAGCAAACACTGGTATGTTATCAGTGTCTCTCTCATAAATCCCAGGCTGAAAAGCAAAACACAGCACTTTTCTAACTACTGAAAAAGAAATCCAGCTCTGTTTCAGCTAAAAACCAGGACAATACACCATAAAGCCTCAATAATAATGCAGAGTAAAACTGTAAGAAGAAATTTAAGGAATGGAAATTCGTATGTGTGCTTTTAAAACTTCTCTTCTTGGTCCAATATGCATTGTTGAGATAGGTCTAATCTAGAAGCCTAAGCAGAACTTCCTGGTTTTTTAAGCCACAATCACCTCAGCATCATAACCATACTATACACAAAATATCTGTGCTTGTTTAAGAGAAAGACTGATAGTGAGGATCATCAAGTCCAACTCTTGCCCTAGCATAGGACAATCCCAAGATTCAGACCATGTGTCTGAGGGCCTTGTCCAAATGCTTCTTGAATATTGTCAGGCTTGGTGCCATGACCACCTCCCTGGGGAGCCTGTTCCAGTGCTTCACGATCCTTTGGGTGAAGAACCTTTTCCTCATGTCCAACCTAAACCTCCCCTGGTACATCTTCCTGCCACTTCCTCTGGTCCTATAATTGGTCACCAGGGAGAAGAGATCAGCGCCTGCCCCCCCTCTTCCCCTTGTGAGGAATTTACAGACTGTGATGAGATCTCCTCTCAGTCTCCTCTTCTCCAGGCTGAACAAACCAAGAGACCTCAGCCTCTCCTCATATGGCTTCCCCTCTAAGCCCTTCACCAATTCAGTGGCCTCCTCTGGACACTCTCCAGTAGCTTTAGATCCTTTTTATCTGCGGTGCCCAAAACTGCACCCAGTACTCGAGGTGAGGCCACACCAGAGCAGAGTAGAGCGGGACGATCACCTCCCTCGACCGGCTCACAATGCCGTGTTGGATTAGAGCCACGAAGATGATTAAGGGAGTG